ACCGGGGTCTTCCTTTCTCCTTCACCTCCTGCTTCGTTCCCCAGATGGTGGGCATTTACAACCTGACCCTCCAAGTGGCAGACATGTCTGGAGAGGGGCTGGCCACCACCGCCACGGCCGTGATCTACGTGGACGACATTAACGATAACCCACCCGAGTTCACACAGAAGAAGGTAAGAAACCCACCCGGGCCTCCTCACAGAAGAGGCGCCCGGCAGAGTTGGGAGGAGGGGGACCGTCAAAGGCAGCTCTCCGAAACAAGGCGTCCTCCAGACGTGCCCGGTGAGAGGTTCTAATGCTGCCAGACAGGGGACCCATCACTCAAGAGCTAGGGGTCCTGTCCAGCTGCCCTGACCGAGCCTCTGCAGGGCAAAAAAAAAAACAATTGTTTCTTTCTCCTCCTTGTTTATTTTCTGTTCCCACCCCACTCCTTTCTCTTCAGGAAATCCCCTTAGCCAGGGCTCAGAGGGGAGGCAGGAGCATTCTGACAAGATCCACACCACCTCGCCTGAGGCTTTCCTCCCAATTTTAGCAAAAAGGGGGCTCCCCCTGTGGCCTTTCCTACAGGAGCCGCTAAAGGGAGGCATCCTGGAAGGAAGGGACCCTTCCCAGTGGCCCCTCCTCTCTTAAACCTTCCGCCACCCCCCACCGCTACCACCAAAAACCCCTCTTTTTGCAGTTCTCCATGGAGGCCCCCGAGAACAAGCAGGACGCGGTCATCGGGCGGCTGATGGTCCAAGACAAGGACCTCCCGGGCTCTCCCAACTGGCTGGCCAAGTTCACCATCTTGGAGGGTGACCCGAAAGGGGCCTTCGCCATCCAGACCGACCCCCTCACCAATGATGGTGTGGTCTCCTTGGTGAAGGTAAGGAGGGTCCCCTAGAGACTGGGCTGGAAGCTCTCTCCTGTGAGTCCCAGAACTGGTGGACAATACCGTGAGTGCTTCTGAGCGCATGCAGAGTGCTTCTTGTCTTTCCGTTCCAAGGGACCGCAGCTTTTTCCACCTCCCCGTCTCTGGCTAGGGGCATAGATTCCACACCCAGAGGGACGTTCTAGCTACGGGGCAGGCGGGTAAGCAGAGGTGCAGAAAAGCACATTGCACGCCTTCCCTCTGGACAAGGGTCGAGGCCCTTTCGGTCTACACAACGAAGATGGGATCAACCCTCTGGGATCGCTCAGCAGAGTTCAGTCTTTGGACCCTCCCTTGGAGAAAGCCAGGCCTGGTAGGCCTTCTCCCCCCACCCCCCAAAAAATAAAGAGTGCAAAGAACTGGAAAAGGCTGTAGGGAAGGCCATGGCTTTTAGCGGTGGACACACACGGGGGGCGCTGACCTCCCTCCGCCTGTCCCTTCTCACCAGGCCCTCGACCATGAGGAGCAAAATCTTTTTGAGCTGCTGGTCTCCGTCCAGAACCAAAGACCGCTGGCGCTCTCGGCCCCCGAGGCAGCCGGGGCTTTGGCCACGGTGTGGGTGCACGTTCAGGATGCCAACGAGCCCCCCTTCTTCCGGGACCATCCCTGCAAGGGGAGGGTGGAGGAGGGCGCCCTCCCAGGCACAGCCATCATCCTCTGCTCTGCCAGCGACCCCGACACCCATCAAGCACAGGACCTCAGGTGAGCCTGAAGTGCAGTTCCTCTCCATACGCCTCCTGCTCTCGCCCTGGAAGTGTTCTGAGGCCCTGGTAGGATGTTGAATAAGATGGATCCCTTCTCAGGAGGCTGTTAGTGAGGTTAGAAAAGAGAAGGTGGGGAGATGTCTGGTATAACCTTGGGAAACCCATGTACGGAGTGAGTGCGGGGAGGAAACGACTGATAAACGTCTTTACAGAAGCCCCTAATGCTGGTTCCTACAGGTGTCTGTCTGCTGGCACCTATTCTAGAGTCTGACTTTCTCTAGCTAATGAGCAGGAAAAAGCAGGATGATACCTGGGGGAAGAAGTTGGGAGGAAGGGCACCTAAAAGTACCAATCTCTGTGCACACCTGGAAACAAAAAGGGGGGGAGCAGGTTTGGATATTTGTCTATTTTCCTGCCCCCCCGACCTCCACCAATGCACACAACTGTGTTAATGCTCTATCCCAGGCTTCTGCACATGCTCTGTGGCACAGGAAAGGTGGGACATGGACCGTGGCACAAAAATCTAGCAGCTTGAAAATGGTAGCTTCCTTTAAAAACAAAGGCCATGTGGCTGGTCCTTATGGCCAAGGGGAAAGCAGTGGGACAAAACCTAGCCGGTTCTTTCTGCTTTTCCATAATCACCGGAGTCAAACTGGAATCAGAGCAACTTCTCCACCCAGCGGGATGTGATTGGGGAGAGAAGGTTGGGGGATGATTTTGGGGAGGCAACCTCGGCGCCCACACGCTGAAACCCAGCCCTGCTCTCTCCCTGTCTCTCGCCAACCTGCTTCCAGGTTCTCTGCAGCCTCGGACCTGGCCAGCTGGTTGCAAGTGGTCCCGGAGTCTGGCCTCGTGCAGACCCTCCGAAAGGTGCCCCCACGTTCAACATTCCCAGATGGCCGGTACACCACATCCATTGTGGCCACTGACAATGGTGAGAAAGCTTCCCTCTTTCCCATTGGCTATATCTGAGAATCAGGGTAGACTTCCCCTTCAGATGGAGGCTCCACTTTAGCCAGGTCTGCATGACAGCCACCGATCCTCCTGCCACTCAAGGGGGTGACTGACCCTGTCTGCTTCCCCTCTAGGAAACCCCCCTCTCACCGCCACCACCACCCTCTCCATTGAGGTGCAGGAGGTCAACGACCACGCACCTCTCCTGCTTCCTGGGAGTCGGGAGCTGTGCAGCCAAGGGGGTGGCGGCTTGGTGCTGAGCGCCACGGATGAAGACCTGCCTCCCCACGCTGAGCCCTTCCACTTCCGCCTCGGCCCCAGTGAGAGCATTGAATCGCCGGCCGGCAACTGGACGCTCAGCCAATCCAACGGTGATTTTGCTTGTCTGGCGTGTGACGGAGCCCAGAACAGTCCCTGTTCAGGAGGGGAGGGAGACGCACGCACACAGAGAGAATGTCTAAGAGAGGAACATGGGCTGCCTGACCCTCCCTAATGCATCACAGAAGGAAGACGGTTTGGGTGGCAAACTCTGAATCAAGGAATGGCCTGGGCAAGACTTCTCCTGTCTTGGGGGCCCTCTAGATGTGTCAGGACTACAACTCTCCTCATCCCCAGCCAGCAAGGCCACTGGCTGTGGTGGCTGGGGATGCTGGAAGTTCCAGTCCACGCCTGGAGTGGCTATATGGGCATCCCCCGAAGGAAGACAAGAGCCAGCACTGGTCTGGACAACGCAGCCTCTGCTCCTACGTAAGCCAAGGTGAAAAGCCAGAAATGACTGCTATGCTACTCTAAATGGTTTTGCAAATGCCTGCCTTTCTTTGGTCCGAGGCAACACCCTCGTGGCTGACGGGAGAACCCTCTCCGGAGTTTCACTAGACTTCCTCTAGGTCACCCCTCACCATGAGCCAGTCTGAGACCCCCCTTCTTTGGTCCGAGGCAACACCCTCGTGGCGGACGGGAGAGCCCTCTCCGGAGTTTCACCAGACTTCCTCTAGGCCGCCCCTCACCATGAGCCAGTCTGAGACACACACACACACCCCGCCTCGGGTCAGGCTTGTCCCAAGGGCACAAGAAAGGGGGCTGCTGGGCACAAAGGGAACCCCCCCCCACCGCCCCAGGTCCCCTTTCTGTGTCTCCTCCGCCCACTTCCCTCCTCTCTCCCTTCGTCCTCCTCATGCAGGGACTCACGCGCTGCTGCGGCCCCCGGGCGACGTGGCCGAAGGGCTCCACGCGGTGGCCCTGCTCATCAGCGATTCCGGCTCTCCTCCGCGGGTCCGGGAGCACCTCCTGAACGTCTCCGTGTGCGCCTGCGATGAGTGGGGCTCCTGCCGGACCCACGTGGCCGCCGTGGTGGGCGCTGTGGCCGGACTCAGTTTGGGGGCCTTGATGATCATTCTGTGCAGCGCCCTCTTGCTCCTGTGTAAGTGCGAGGGGATCGGGGCCTCTCCTTCACAAGGCAGTGAGGGTCCCAGCCCGCCTCTCCTCTCCCCCAAAGGACCAGCCTCAAAGGCCTGCGCGGACCTTGGACCCATCGTGCTGTGAACCGGCCGGTTTCCCTCCCTCCACTGTGTGGAGTTGCCCAGTCCTCCCGGCCCCCACCCCAGCCATGGGGAAGCTTGGTCCTCCTTCCACAGGACGATGGGCTCACGGGGAGCAGCTGCCGGACTCCAAGCCCCAGGGCATTTCCTTCTGTCTCCTTCCTGCCTCCATGCTCGAAGCAGGAGGAACCTTCCACCAGGAATGCTCAGGATCATCTCCGATGCTCCCTGATTTCCGGTTACACTCTATAGGGCTTTCCCTCTTTTTTGGGGGGGGGGTTACGGGTTCTCAGTTTCATGGGTGATCTTCCGTGGGCTCCCTTAAGTTTCCTTAAACCTGTTGCTTGCCAACAGCCACCCAAGGATCCTTTTAAACGTATCAACAAACTATTGACGGCTCGACCACCTTTTCCCACAAAGGCGGCCGCAGGGTGGCAGCCAGGTGGGTCTACCTGAAGGAGAGATCATCCAGGCACTGAGAAAAATCTAGGGAGGCTGTCCCCATCCTCATCCCCCCCTCCGTATGTTCGACTACAGTTCCCATCATCCCAGCCATGTTTCTAACAGTGATGAAAGTTGTAACGGAAGCCTTTGAAGTTGTGGAGGGAGGGGAGGGGAATGGACCTGCAGGATCAGGTCCTTGTAGGAAACCAGTGAGGTATTTTGAGACGTGTGTGTGCTCTCTCTCTCTCTCTCTTACTCACCACCCTCCCTTAACTCCTCCCTCTCTACGGGCAGTACTGGTCTTACTGGTGGCCACACTGGAGCATTCCCGGCGGCAGGCCTTCTGCAAGGCCCTCCTGGGGGGCTCCCAAGATGACTTGAGGGACAACGTCCTCAATTACAATGAGCAAGGAGGGGGAGAAGAAGACCAGGTGAGCCTCTCTCAGGACCCACAGCCCTAAGCACCAGCCACGGCTGGGAGGGAGGGAGGGAGGGGGGGCACTGGGCCGGCTGGCTAGCCACCCCACTCTAGGGCAGGCGCCGGTGCGGTCGGGGGCCATAACTGCCCCTTTGCCGCCCGCAGGATGCCTTCGACCTCAACCAACTCTGCAACCCGGGCCTCTTTCCCCCGCCGTCACCTCGGGGCAAGCCCCTGCGCCGGAGAGATGCCCCCTATGGCTACGCCTTGCCCCCGCACCCCCGGCGGGTGCCTGCCTGCCCTTCGGACATAGAAGACTTCATCCTTGAGGTAGGGAGCATGAGCAGGCCAAACAGGCAGGCAGGGGCTCAAAGGAGAGGGGGGGGTCAATCTTTCGGGGAGGGGAGCTGCCCAAGCAAGGGGGGAGGACGACCCCAAAGGGACTCCCTCCCCGTTTCTGCCTCTGCACGAGCGAGACCCTCCCCTGAAGGACAGGCAGCTCTAGAGGCATCCCCAGGTCCCACAACTCTGCCATGGGGCGGGGGGCCCACGTCACCCCCTTGGATGCACTCAGAAGGGGGTCACATCCCGTCCTATGAAGCTCTTAAGGGGGGTGCCAGTGAGCAGTCGTTCCCACTCCACGGGGAAACCAGGTGGGTCCCGAGCAGTGAAATCACTCCGAGCAGTGAAATCACTCATTCCACAGAACAAGTTCCTTGAACTTCCTTCCTTTCCCCACTAACATCATTACCAGAAGACGAGAGAGCGCTTCCCTTCTGCTTCTGTACAAACTGCCACATTTAGCGACCTCTCCCCTTTTTTTGGGGGGGGGAATCAGTCTCTTTCTGGATGACATGTCTCAGAATCTCTCGGACCGGTGAGGGATTCTAAGGGATGGCCTCCCCAAACTGTGCTTTTCTAAGCAGTGGGAGTAAAAAGGTGTTTGGAAAGGTCAAGGCATCCTATATTAAATCTAATCAAGAGAAAGGTGGCCAATAAATGAGACAAACAAACAAAATTAAAGTCTTTAGAGGCTGGTGCCTAAGTGGGAGGGGGTCAGGTGGCCCCAGGCCTGCCTCGGGGATGGGGGGGGCTGTCCCCAGGCGGTTTCACTGGCCTGCCTTCCTTCCTTCCCTCTGCACGTCCCCTGCCCCACTCCTTCCCTCCCTCCTTCCCTCCCTCCCACAGGGCCTGGAGGCAGCCGACAGCGACCCCAGCGTCCCCCCCTATGACACCGCCCTCATCTACGACTATGAGGGGGAAGGCTCGGCCGGCGGCTCGCTCAGCTCCATCCTCTCGAGTCTAGCCGACAAGGACCAGGATTACGACTATCTCAACGACTGGGGGCCACGATTCCGGCGCCTGGCAGAGCTGTACGGTCAATAGGAGGAGAAGGAAGGTGGAGAGGTGGGTCCCAATAAGACCCAGGATTCCACCAGCCATCCAGAGAAGCTTCCACTCCCCCCACCCCCACCCCCTGGCCCTAGGCCTGCCTGCTTCTCAGGACAACAGCCACGGCCCACAGCGGAGCCCCCTCCTTGCCCTCCAGCACCCCCAGGCCTCCTGATGGCTCTCCCCACCCCCGGATGAGAACAGCCACCCCTCCACCTGAAAGACCGCCTGGCATAGAGAGGAGCTCCCTCAGGTGGGCACCTGACCCCACCGGGCCATGCAAGGAACAGGCCCAGGGCCAAACCAGGAAGGATCCACGCATCGCCAGGCGCATGAGGACCACCCGCGGAGGAGGAGAGGCTCCAACAAGTGGTGCTCAGCTCGGATTGCAACTCGGCTCTCTTCATGGGGAGGGGGGGACACACGTAGCAACACAGCTGGTGTGAGAAGGGGAGGTTTGCCCATTGCGCTCTAGGGGAGGGAAGGCGGGTGCCGCCCCCACCAGACTGTGGAACCCACATTCTGTGGGCACCAGCGAAGCATGCTGCTCCTTCCCCCCCCCTCCCGGGCAGGCACGTGGCTGCCCGAGGCACGGTCTTCTCGGCCGACTGGGCACTGAAGGAGGATACGGGGCAGCGATGCTCTGGGGCCAGACGGACACCAAGGAGACCCAAACGACTCACCAACAAAGGCAGCACTCCCTTTATTAGCCTGGCAGACGCAAGAGAGGGCAGCCGGGCCGATGGTACCAAAGTGGGCATGGAGGGACTGCTCAGCCCAGAGAGAGAGAGAGAGAGGAAAAGCCCCAAGAGAGAGAAAAAAAGGAGGGAGGGAGTGTGTGCAAGAGGAGGGGTCTTCCTCTTAAACCTCTGCAGGAAAAGGCACTGGTGAGCCAGCAAAACCTCTCCTGGGGCTGAGCGCCCCACACACACACACACACATACGTGTCCCCCTGTTCCAGGGGTGTGAATGCAAAAGGATTCTGGGTTCCAGTTCCTTATAGCCCTAAAAAAAAACCCCTCATCCCCTCCTCCAACCGCAGACTTGGTCCAAGGGTCCATGGTCCCTACATCTCCTCCCGCGCCCCGCTGCGTTCCGAGGGGTCCCGAAGCAAGGGCCTCGCTTGCTGGCCGTAGGATCCATGCCGTGAGGCCAGCATCTTTTTGGTGGCCGTGACAAGGCGGGCGTAGCTGTCGGGGTCGTAGAGACTGGCCCCAGAACGGGCGGCGAGCAGCGGCAGGTGGTCGTGGCGACGGTGGCGACGGTGGCGCTTGGCGTAGAAGAGCGGGGGCCGGCGCTGGTTCTCCCCCTCGTGCAGGGAATCCGGCAGAGGCTTGTTGGTGCTCTCCGGGAGCAGCATGATGCTGAGCACCGACAGGATGGCGAAGGAAGCAAAGACCACGTGGTGGAGGAAGAAACCCCGGCTGTTGTGGATGTCCATGAGGGGGGCGGCCGCCCAGCCCACCGATCTGGCGGCCAGGATGAGGCCCAGCCCGGATCCCCTGCAGAAGTGGGGGAGGGGGAAGCCAGGTGGGACTAAGATCCTGCTCTCCCTCTTTCCTTCCAGGGCCTCATCCTGTGCTGCTCTTTCTCCTGCTCCTTGCCCCAGCGGCTGCTGCCACCGCCACGGAAGGACAGGCAGCTGCCGCATTGACCTCCCTAGCCCAAAATGGCCCACTCGGACCGGCAGCCGCTCCCTCGGCTCTCAGGCCGGGCTCTCCCCTCGTGCCCTGCTACCCAGTGTGTGGAGAGTGCAGGATTTGGACCTTCGGGGGGAGCCACCGCACGAGAGCAGCATTCTTGCTTGGTTCAGGTGGGAGGGTTAGGGTTAGGGTTATCCTTCCTGAGACCCTCCAGAACCACGAGCACGGATCCAGCCACACCAGGAGGACCAGGCGTGGGGGTCCCGCTTCTGAGATCCTGTGACCGGCTGCCTGCAAAGCCCACGAGGCCTCTCGGATGCTCACTCACAAGGGACTGAACAGCCTCAGGCAGAAAAGACCTTTGTGTGTGCATGCCCTGCCTCCCTGGGGTAAGGCTGCTGTTATCACTTTAAATGTAGGTTTTGGAGTTTAGTTTCTCCCTCTGCATGGGTGGGCACGCACGCACGCAGGCACACATAGGGGGAGAGGCAGGGTTCTCTCTCTCTCTCTCTCACCTGACCACCGTGGGCAGCACCTCACTGACAAACAGAATGCTGAGGGCAGCGACCGCTTGCGACGCCAGGATGCCCAGGACGGAGAGCGCCAGGACCAGCCAGGCCATGAGGTCTAGGGAAGGCAAGGGGGAAGGAAGAGAGCGAGGACAGCTCAGCAGCAGGACCTGGCAGGGGACAAACCTCCCACCACCACCACCACTACCACACACACAACAGATCACCATTTGTTCCATCAAATCTGCCTGCACAAAGAGAGTGCTTACAGGGTGAACCTCGACAGGTGGCTCTAGCAAGCAAGCCAAGTGGCATGCACAAGAGTCAGACTGGGATGAGACGACTGTCTCTTCGGAAGAAGCCACAGTACAGACCCCCTGAGGCACAGCCAAGCCAGGGGGCCGATCCATGGCTCTTTTGAGCGCCGTGTGCCATAGTCTCTGGCAGGCAGAGATCTCCCGGGGAGACGCACTACCTTGCAGGGGTGCCCTTGGAGTCCCTCCTCCCAAGCGCCTCACCCACGGACAGCCCTCTTCTTACATTGCATCAGAGCCAGCAGGAGCAGGGAGGAAACGCCCGTCAGGATGGTGCTGAGCAGGAGGACGGCCCGGCGCCCAAAGCGATCCACCGTCAGGCAGAGGAAGAGGAGGGCGACTCCCTTGCAGGCCGCCAGCAGGAAGTAAGGGAAGTAGAAGCGGGGGCCGTAGGGGGCCAGGTTGCGTGTGAAGCAGTGCCGGATCCCACTGCCAATGAACCTGGAAAGGGGGGGGGTCAGCAAGTCAGAGGGAAGGGCGAGGGAGGGGAGGAAGGAAGACGGAAAGGCTGTAAGAGGCTCCTTGAATTAAAAGGCAGCTATGAAAACAACGCACTGTGGTTCCTTGAGCGATTTGGGGCCAATTCCAAACAGGGGCCCGGGCCTGGGGAAAACAGGGTTTGGGAAAGGACAACAAGCATCAAGAAGAAAGGGGAGAGGGATCCGACACCCACTTCTCCCTTCTCTGAGTACCCCCTCCCACTCCACCCCCAGATCTCCATCCATAACTCTTTCCTCTCTCCCCCCCCAAAATAAAACACCCCTCTCTGGCTCTTACGCAGTGAAGCCGAGGATGAGACTGTTTTTCCACACCACGCGGGTACCAAGGAGGTGGCAGAGGCTGTGGTAGTGGGGCTGGGGAGCCCCTCCCGACGAGGCATCCTGTTCTGGAGGGAGGAAACTGGGGGTTGTGACCACACCCACACCAAGGCCGCGCAGCCGCAACCTCAGGAGGGCTCAAGGCGGAGGGAGGAGGTGGCTGTCGGTTGCAGGACCAATGTCCCACCACCACCACCACCATGAGCTTTAGCTCCTCCATGGGGGAGAGGAGGCAGCGTGGCTGAGCGTGCCACCTGCCATTCCTGCCCCTGCCGAGGCCTCACCTGCAAGGTCCTGCTCCCCTACGTAGGAGTCCTCCTCCAAACAGGCGCCGCTGCCCTCAGCTAAGCTGCGCAGGACTCTCTGGCCTTCCTTAAGCTGGCCAGTGGCCAGGAGCCAGCGGGCCGACTCCGGGAAGAGGGAGGGGCACCTGCGCCAAAAGGAGAGATGCAGCCTGAGAGGGGAAGCTGAGCACCCGTGCCCTTGTTCCGGGTGGCTGCAACCCAAGGGAAGGCGGCTGGCTGACCGTGCCGTGAAGGGCACCAGCATGGCTTGGCACGTTCCTCTTTCCAGCCTCGGCCAATCCTGCCTTCTCTAACCCCGCCGTCTGCACCAGCAGCAGGGTGTAGAAACAGCCCAGGCGAGACTTCTGGGGTGGCGCCCGGCGTTGGACCCCCATGGCCCAGAATTCACTCCCCACAGAAAGTGAGTACATGGAGCTAGGAGCAAAAGAAGTGGTTTTGCTTTGCTGGTCTTTGTTCCCAACGATATTACGACTGCAACCAAAAATTGTCCTTAAAACTTATGGTAAATGATAAATAACATAATGGGTGTAAACTTTCTCAGAAAGAGAGTTGTGTTTTTTTTTAAAAAAAAAAATCAGTCCCAGTGAGACCTGGGTTCTTTCACAGAATTAATTAGGGACCTGGCAACAAAAGATAGCTTCTGGACTAATTTATTATGCAAGCCTGTTCGTGAGAGAAGGAGCTTCCACAGTCCCTGTTGCCCCGTGAAAGCCACCCACAAGGCCACGCTTGCTGTGGCAGAAAACGAGAAGCTGGCCTCCGTGCTGTTTACCTTGCCAGGCAGATAAGCCCTACCCTGACCTGGAGCTGCAGGCACAGCCCCTAGCCGAGTCGCACCCTTGACGCCTCGGCCTCATGACTCTGCACAGGTGTGCCCGGCCGGGACCCTAAAGAACAGCCTCTGCAAGGAGGCAAAACGGAGCGCCCCCCCCCCAGCATATCGTCCAGAGAAAGGAGACCGGCAACGGAGGAGCCCGGCAGTGCCTGCAGCTTGTTTCCCACTGGTTTGCCTGAGGTGCCTCTCCTTGGTGGGGGTGTCTGGCTAGGCTAGAGGGGGGGCCACCTCCACTTGGCCAATACTGCTGGGGCCGATCCCACAGCAAACCGCTTGGCACCTCCTCAACCCTGCCAAGGCCACCTGGCCTGAGGGTGCTTGACCGGGACTGAGAGAACCCTCGTCTCTGAAGCACCATCTTGATGGCGCTCTTAAGCTCAAGGGTGGCGGGAAGGTGCTCAGCCCTGCCGCCTCCACCCCCACCGCCCTGCAATTGCTTCTAACGGCTTCCTGGGATTTACGCAACGCTGGGTGTGGAGAGGAAGGTGTGGGTGTTCAAACAATGGCTGGGACACAGAGACCCACTAGGAAAGGGAACTCATGGTGTGGCAGAGTTGGTCAGTAGGAAATGCAGATGTTCTCCCCGCACGCCCTGGACGGCTCGCATCCCTCTAGACCCCCATCCCTTTTAGGAATGTGTCTCTCCCCCCCACCCGGGAAGAGCTATACTTACCACCAGCAAGCAGCCAGCAGTGCAAACCCCAGCGTGACTGCTCCCTGGAGGAGACGCCACTCTCGGCACGCCACAGCCAGCCCGGGTAACAACAGCTCCCCCGCCACCCAGAAGAACCCGGCCGTCATGGTGACCCCCAGGCGGTGGGGAGGGTCACACAATTCCAGTCCTGGGGAAGGAGAGGGGAGGGAGGGTCGTGAGCCGCAGGGCCAGTGGCGACGGGGGGGGGGGGAAGAGAGAGCAGGCAGGGC